ACACAGGAGCGCCGCTGTAGAGGTCTGCGCCACGGTCTCCACGGCAACCTCGCCACGCTCGGATCTTTTTGGGCCCTAGTCTTCGCTTTTTTGGTAGCGGACGCGTCGTGCTCATGCAGGCCTCCGCTCGTTCTCTGGCTTCCTCCCCACCCCCGCGGAACCTGTGGCCCAGCGAGGCCAGCGCCGACACAGACACTGACTCCCAGGAGCGCCGCTGTAGAGGTCTGCGCCACGGTCTCCACGGCAACCTCGCCACGCTCGGATCTTTTTGGGCCCTAGTCTTCGCTTTTTTGGTAGCGGACGCGTCGTGCTCATGCAGGCCTCCGCTCGTTCTCTGGCTTCCTCCCCACCCCCGCGGAACCTGTGGCCCAGCGAGGCCAGCGCCGACACAGACACTGACTCCGGGGCCCTGATTATCCAGACGGAGGAGAGGACACCAGGCCCCCAAAGAGAAGGCAGCCGAACCCGCCTCTCGAGTGCCAAGCAGGCATCTTGAAGAAACCTTCGCAAGGCGCCGCGCCTGCCTCACCAAGTGCAAGGTCCTGAGTTCGATCCCCAGTACCGAAGAAAAAAAAAAGAGAAAGAGAAAGAAACTTTGGTGCTAAGGCCTGTGCTATGCCCCGGCAGTGACCTTAGGGACAAGGGACCTGGAGCCTTGGCCCCACACTGAACTGGGGAGGCTGCCTTCGCAGCAGCAGAGGAGTGACCCTGTTAGACAGGTACTCAAACCAAGACGGGCTTGTGATCCTCCTGCCCCAGCCCCTCAAAGTGCTGAGATCACATTCCTGTGCCACCACGCCCAATGCCAAAGACGTTCTGAGGGTCAGGACCCTGCTTAAGGTGGGGGCCAGGAGCAGGACATAACGGTATGGACACCGTGCCGGCAGCAAGAGCAAGGTCCTGAACCCTGAGAAGTTAGACCTATCTGGACAGGCATATTTTAGGATGCAGAATTCTCAGTGTCTGATGGAGGGGGAGGAAAAGGCAGAGTTTAGCACAACTGGGGTAACTGCTAATTGACCTTAGCGTTAGGCTAAAATAGGTCTGTTCGTATGATGGTATAACAAAGCTCTTTTGTTACATTTTTGTCTGATGGTCTTTTTTTTGGTGGGGAGGTTGAGACAGGGTCTCACTATGTAGTTCTAGACAGACCTGGAACTCACCATGTAGCCCAGGCTGGTCTGGATTTCGCAGAGATCCTCCTGCCTCAGCCTCCTGAGCGCTGGGATTACAGGTGTGCACCACCACGCCCAGCTTGATGGTCTTTTTAGTAAAAGTCAATAGTAGAAACATGACTCCATTTCATTACTTTGCATACTTCTCAATGAACTGTGTACAGATTAGAAAATACTTCCAGAGTGATGAAACTCAATCTTGATGTTAAAGATACAGCCTCCTAAACTGGGTAGAGTAACACATACCTGTAATCTCAGCGCTGGTAGGCTGAGGCAGGAGAATCACAAATTCAAACCCAGCCCAAGCAGTTTACTTAGCAAAGCATTAGCCAGGTGTGGTGGCGCATGCCTGTAATCCCAGCAATAGGAAGGCTGAGGCAGGAGGATCACTGTGAGTTCGAGACCAGCCTGGGCCACACAGCGAGTTCCAGGTCAGTCTCAACTACATAGTGAGACCCTGTCTCAAAAAAATCCAAAAAAAAAAAAAAAAAACCAAAGCATTGTCTCAATTTTTTTAAAAGTGAGGAGTGGATTTCAGGGGCAATACCTGCCT